CGGGGGCCGCCGCCCGCCGCCCGCCGCTCCGCCGCCGGCCGGGCATGAGTTAGTGGGCGACATGGACACCAAACACTTCCTGCCGCTTGGTGAGTGCCGGCCGGGCCGGGCGACGGTAGGGCCGGGTGGAGACCGGAGGGGGCCGGGTCGGGGCCGGGCGCGTGCGCGGGCGGCAAGGAGGGGGTGTCCCGGCCTCCCGCGGCCCCCCGCCTGCGCCAGAGTTCGGGCGCCAGCCTGCAGCGCGGTGGGCGCCGGGCAACTTTTCCCGGGCCCGGCGGGCGGGGAGGGGAGCGGGCGAGGTGGCGGTGGCGGGCTCGGGGCGCGGGTGGCGCGGGCTCAGGGGGACGAGGGGACCTCCCGACTCCCGGATTGCCGTCCCAGGCCGCCCGGGAGCAGGGCCCAGCCGGAGCAGCAACTTCTGCGCCCGCGCGCTCGCTGCTCAGGCCTCCTGGCACCGGGACGGTTGCGCGCTGGGCCCGAGTGGCCTCGGCTCTGCGCCGCCCCCGCCGGTGCCGCTTCCAGCAGGCCCCGCCGGCCCTGGGGTGCGTCCCGGAGGAAGCAGGCTGCTGCACGCTGTTTCTCCATGGCAGCCCGCGCCTGGTGGGCATGGACTCCCAGGGGCCGTTTGTACTCGCACGCCGGACCCAGGACTGGCCCCTCTTTCGGGCGCCCGGGCCGTGCTGCCGTGAGGGAGACGCCGGGGAGTGGAGGGTCAGCTTTCCTGTGCCGCCAGCCTCTGCCGCCTGCCAACTCCAGGCCTGGCTCCAGCTCTGGGTAGTGGGCATGGCCGGCGGCCCCCGCCTCCTGCTCTCTCCCTGGGGCCCGGGAGCCCTGAGAAGCAGGGAGGAGGACTTATAAATGAGCTCGGGGAAGGATATTAATTTGGTGGTGGGGACCGCAGCCAGGCTGTCAGGCTGGTGAAGGATTTGTGCTGAATGAAAATTAAGACAGCTGATTAGGGACCAAGCCCAGGACCATCATTCCTCTGCCTGGCTCCCAACTCCTGAGGCCTGGGGTGCAGTGGGACCACCCTGGGGGACACTCAGACCAGCATAGTGTGGGGGACATGTGAGAGGTTGGGAGTGCCTCCCCGGGGGGAATTCAAGGGAGAGGCTCTCAGCGCCTTGGTCACTCACAAGCCTTAGGACTGCTGCAGGGTGACGTGCGGGGTCCTGCAAATTTACCAGCTCTTAGGACTCACTCTTCAGTGTTCTGTGGCATTAGGGCCAGGAGGCTCTGGGGTGGGCACTTGGGCCCACTTTTCAGAGAAGAGCACCAGCCATGAGAGGCGAAGCTGAGGCCCCGTCAGAGGCTGAGTTTGGAGTGGAACGCCAGCCGGTGGGTGCCAAGTTGTCTGTGTGTGGAATGACACCTCCTCTTCCTCTGTCAACACCTCACGTGTGCACACACAATGTGGGGCTCTCCTGGGGACCCCTTCGGGACCTGAGTGTGCAGCTCGGAGCTTGAGTGCACTCTTGCCTGGGTCCTGGGGACAGGACTGGTCCCTGTCCATAACTTCCTGAGCAGGACAGGGCTGGTCCTACAGGCTGGCACGTGTAGGCAGGAGTAGGACTGAGGGCGCCTGGGTTGCTGGCACACTCTGCGTGGACTGCCCGCGCGACCAGGGGGCTGTGTTGCCAGAGCAGCTGGCGAGTCTCTGGACCTGGCCGGTGGCCTTCCGGGCAGCCCTGGGGCTGAGAGGAGTGCCTGGGGCTCTGATTACATTTTATTTTTTCCTGAGCTGGTGACCCACTCTGAGGTCCATTGCAGTTGAAGGTCCATTTAAGCAGCTACTTGCCTAAGCCTTTTTGTCAACACAACCTAATCCCTCGTGGGGGGTGAGTGTTGGAGAGCCTGGCTCATCCAGTGCCCGTCTGGGTCGGATGTGGGACTGGTGGGAAGGCAAGACCATGTCTCTGAGCCAGCCGCCTGGCCACTTTGGAGGTCTGGGGCCAGTGGGAGAGGGCTTCCTCCTCCCAGCATGCACTGCTGTGTGGCTTAGTATCCAGGGAGCTTCTGGTCTCCCATCGGCCGCCCTCAGGGCTGATGGTTTGGGACAGATCAGGGAAGGAAGAGAGGTGGGGAATTCGCCTACGGCAGGCCCTGTTTTCTGGCCCTGCTGCCTGGGGCTGGCCTTGCTCCATGCCTGTCGGGGAGGTGGCCTGGACAGTGGGACCCAAAGGCTGAGCCTGCACAGTCCAAAGGTCCCAGGCCACGTCGGACCCTTTCCACTGCCACTGACCCTTTAAGAGTAAAGCTGCCCAGGGCCCCTGGATTCTTTCTGGTGGGTTCCCAGGGACCCAGTGAGCTTGGAGCCTGGCGAGGGGCTTCTGGTAACATATGAGCCCTTGGGATCCAAAATAGAGCACATTCCGGGGCCTCCCGAAATAACAGGGTCATGTGACTCAGGAGGCTGGGCTTGGAGTCTAGCATGGGCCTGACGAGGCAGTTCGGGGCTGGGCGCAGGCACTGTGTCGAGGACGGGGCGCTTGTTTTGGTGAAGTCTGGATGGGGCTCTGTTTGTTGACTGGAGAGTGTTAGAGTGAGAAAAATGGCCCCCGGAGGCAGCCGATGGTGGCCAGGCCTTGGGCCGAGCTTGCTTGTGGCTGCCTGTGGCCCACCACCCTGCCTGGGCCTCCTGGATGAGCCTTGCAGGGAGGGAGCCCCACGCACAGCCCAGGCTGGCGTGGCTGCTGCTGTGGGGCGCTGGCTCCTCCAGCAGTGCCTGTCCTTTAGGGCCATGTGGGTCTGCGGCCTTCTCCAGGAGGCTGACTGCCCCAAGCCCCATCTTGCCTGCCCCTCTGTGGCTTCGTTTTGTTTTGGAAAAGGGTGTCTGGAAGCGTGTGGAAATGTCTTGTGGGTGCGGAGTAGACGCTCATGCCTGTGCTTCTTCACTCAGGTGCTGTGTGCCCATGGGGTCTAGAGGGAGTGTGACACATGACATTCGCTGGGGAGGTGACACAGGGATGAGTAAAAGGCACCCAGGGCCCTCCCCTCATCAGCTGGGGCAGCCGGGCCCTGCGTTCACGGGCGAGATGGGGCTTGCCTCTGTTGGAGTGTCATGGCCGCAGGCTCAAGGGCCAGCAAGGCCCAGTCCTGGGGAGTAGAAGCCCCAGGCCTGGCCCTGCCCCCCACCCTCTATAGGGCAGGGGCCTCGTTGGCTCAGGGCCAGGACAAGCCAAGACCTGCCCTCTTCCCTGCTCTGCCGGGCTGGAGTTTGTGGGCCTGAGCCTGGAGGCGTCGCTTCAGCTGGCCCAGCTCCTTCAGGAGTGGCCATGTGCCAGGCCAGGGGTGGGGCAGGGTCCAGGCCCTACGGGTTTGGTGTGTGCACTGTGGCTGGCGCAGCCTGGTGTCCGTGCTGGTCTTCTGGACTTTGGGAAGGTGACAGGGACGGGTAGGGAGGGGGCCTCCATTTGCCCACCTGCTTGTCTGGTATTTCTGTATGGTGAGGTACAGCTCCAGGTGCCCCTGTGTTCCCCCATGACCACAAGCTTCCCAGTGACCACAGCAAAGCTGAAGGACCGGCAGGGTGGGAGGGCAGCCCTAGTGGTCTCCTCGGGGTAATGGGTGTGCTTCTTGCTTCTCCGGGGCCAGACAGGCTAGTTGGGACCGCCCCCAGCATTTGCTGTCCTCCTGGGATGCCACTCACCCATTCTAAAGGTGAGGCCAGGGTCAGGTGGGTACTGGCCTCCAGAGTTGGACCAGATCTGCCTGAGGATGGCCAGTGTCCCCAGTGTGAGCAGATGCGGGAAAGATATAGCCCTGGCCTGGGCTGGATGTGCTCCGAGCCCTGGGCCGGCCCAGCTCTGCATTACAGATTTCCCTGGACCCCAGGAGCCGGTGGGCGAGGGCCGGCGTGTTTGCACACCCACCCGAGCCTGCCTGAGATGTTCTGAGCAGTCGTGCCCCAGCGCCTCACAGACGGGGAAATTGCACCCTAGAGTTACAAAGCAATTGTCTAGCTCAGCAGCTGAACGAGCGTGAAATGGAGCAGAAAGCAGCTAAATAAAAGCGGACGGCCGGGTAGGGGAGCAAGGGGTGCACACACACGCACACTCACGTACCCCTCACCTGGCCTGCCTGGGCCCTGCCAGTGCTGGCCTGTGTCCCCGTCCCTGTGCAGGGGGGCTAGGGAGGGGCAGCCTCCAGGGCTCCAAGTGGCTCTGGGGTCCCAGTGGGTGCTTTGCGTCTCCTCACCTTCTCTGGGACCTGCCAGCCTGGGAGGATGCAGCAGGCGCTCCTGAAGGCTTCCCAGAGATAAGTCGCTGGGATGCAGCCCCACTGGCTGCGCTGCCTCCGCTGCCCAGGGCCTCACATCTGGGGTTCTCAGCGCTGGCTCCAGGCCGTCCTGATCTGGCCCTCTGTGGGGACAGGCTCTGTCCCCCAGGTACCCCTACCCCTGCCCATTAGCACCCCGGCTTTCCTGCCCGTTCTGGGTCCCTGGAGCCCCATAACGGTCTCTTATGTGGACACCGATAGGGGCTGAGGTCTCACGGTGACAGCTCTGGCTGGCCCCCGACCCTGGGACTGCAGCCCTCAGGGAGCAGAGACTCCTCATCACTACTCCAGGGTGATCTCCGAGCCTGGCTGCACAGCTGGAGGTTGGAGGAGCAGTCAGGCACAGCCCTGGCAGGCCTGTGGCCTGGTGGCTGTCCTCACACTGTGGGGACAGCGGTGTCCGGCAGCAAGTTCCAGAGGGGCCAGGGGAGGGGACTGGGTGATGAGCTTCTCTGGGCTGCCCCAGGCCCACGCTGGAGCAGGCAGGGCCCTGGTCTCCTCGGCCCCGTCCCCACGCGCGCCCCGTGCGCACATCCAGGACTGAGCAGAAGGAGGCAGCCCTTTCTCAGGAGGACCCAGCTGAGGGCGCTGAGTCCCGTGGGCCTGATCCCGGGGCCCCAGGCAGGGGTGAGAGAGGAAGAGACCTGTCACCTTCCAGAGCAGGCTTTGAACTCAGGGGAGGGTTGGTTGAGACAGGCGGGAGCACAGAGGGAGGCCACCTGGTGGGCATCACAGGCGGGTGACGGGCCCAGCTGGGGCTGAAGCCGACACGTGCAGAGGCGGGAGGAGGAGTGGAGCTGCCTGCCCGGCC